CAACGTTTGAATAGTCAGTATGAAGATGTGTCGCAACCATTTTACAGCTTCATGGCTGATTCCATTTCGGGCATCTTCATAAGCAGTGAAAACTGAAATGAAGGCATTCGTCAACAAAGCTTAGTTTAAGAATAGAAGGATAACAATCCCTCTAAAATATTGCTTATTCTGTTACTTCTGTTGCTGTATTAACAACAGTTTTAGTGAAAAATAAATTTGTTATTTGTTTTTACACGTATGAAACAAGTCTTTATCAGCGCTCTCCCAGCAATCCAGCAAAGATCAGAAGTTTTGTGATTCTGACTGAAGTCTTCTCTCCCAGTAATGCCATTTCGTCACCCCTGAATTCGTCAAAAGGGAGCATCCTATGCTTCCACCTCTTGGCACTTTCCTCATAGTTATTCACTTTAAACAAACAGAGTGCCTTTTTCTTTATTTACACTTCGCCATCCAACATCTTTACTCAGAAATTTTGTGCCTCTGTGAGAACAACAACACATGCATCAAAGCCAGCAAACATCAGAGTTTTATACATATAATTTTATCAGCACTGGACTTCATTTTGATGAACTGTTGTCTTCAAAACTACGTTTAAAATAACATAGTTATTTTTCATCCATAAAGATGGATACAGCATGTTTCTCTGAAATGTTGGTATCTGTCAACATATCTACAGAGTCAAAACCCACAAGAACAACACTGTCATCCTCACCACCATCACACAAAATACTGATAAGAATTTATTTAACTGCAAGTAAGTTGTTAAGGGATGCTGGTCTGAAGCAACTGATTGAGTTATGGAGTTTTCTAATTGTATTCTAATCTTGTGAAATTAAAGATTCTCACAGTATTGAAAATATTATTGTTCTGAGTTTCACTCCTGTGTGGACTTGTATATAGATATGAATGTTACAGGGGAACGTACTACTTTCATCTTCATTCACTGAATTGTGAACTGTTTCAGACACAGTTAACAGAACATGGTCAGATAGATATTTATATCTTTCATGTACATTTTAAGCTACAATGAACCAGTGTTCATAACGTGATCTTAGAACAAACAATGCTTGTGCTTCTCCATTCTAGTTTGTGGCTGACTAGTTCAACTAGTTGTGAACGTTTTATGCTTTGATGACTTTGAGCAATTCTGTCACACTTCAAACTTTCAGCTGGAAGGAGTACAGTGTCTATGAGAGAGAGCAAGGCTGTGCTGATGATTTGGCCTTGATGACAAATGGGAAATTCTCAAGTACTGTCTAACACTGCTAATTGAGTGCTACTCATTTTTCACCACCAGTACTGGCATTAAAGCAGGGCTAGTGGTAAATTGTAACTTCTTATTTTTGGGTGCAGAAGATTTTTATGTATTGCTGTATTAAAGTGTAATGTGGTGTGTGTAGTACTGTAGTTAGGATGCTGAAAGTAAAAGAAAAGGCAAAATTGGATAGTATTATCTGTACTTAACACCTTTGCAATAGTATTTTCTTGTGCAGTAGGTCTATTCAATTTTGTTGTAATCTCATATTTTGGAGAAGAAGACACAAATTTTCTGGTGTGTTCACTTACCCAATCCAGGTAACCAACACACCCTTAAGGTCTTCTAGTTATGCACCCATCAGCCATTTCAGACTCACATCTCGTTTTGTCATTTCCTTTTCTCACAGAGAATACTTTCAGCACAACACCAACTCTTGTGTGTACCTCATAGAATAAAGAAATAATTGGCAATATTTTGTTGGCTTTTACCAGGATATTATTCTTTGCCACTGACTTTAAGTACCTTCCAGTAACATATTTATCACATTCATGTCCTAATATTCCTTTCCCACTGTAACTATGTATTTTTCCCCAACAACAGAAAGAAATAGCTGATCACAATGGTAACATGGCCAAAGGTGCAACAGGTTCAGAATGTTTGGAACACTAGAATCACAAATTTGAATCTTTCATGCGGTATAGATGTATATCTGTGTTTCTTGGTATTGTCTTGTATAGGCAGGGCCTTGTTATGGACTGGTCTTGTATCCAAAGAATTCTGTAAGGTTCATAATTTCAGGAATTAATTCTGAATCAGAACGGACTACATGGCCTTATCCATAAAAGGTGAAAGGTTGCAGATACATGATTGTCAAAAATTATTTTGCCTCACACTTTGTTAAACCTTCTTCTTCCTTCATGTTACAGCCCGGGGTAGGATTTGACCACCATAGGGTTTCATAACAATAATTGTTTTCTGGGGGTGGGGTTGTTAGCCCCATGCCCAACCCCCAACCTGAAGGACCAGGGTATCATTCATAGTCTGGCGCATCGTTTTAGACCTGTCTGGCTTCGTTGACCCTACCAGGAGTTGAAGCTCCCACCAGCATAGCCCTAAGGGTCATTTGAGCATGCAAGCCTCCTCACCCAGCAAAATTTATTTGCCTTCAACAAGGTGGTGATTCCTTCAGGACATTTGTGTTTCAAGCTGTGTACAGATTGTCAAATTTCAGGTTCTCATGGTGTCAAGTATGAAGATCTTATCTATGTAGTCTGGTAGGTATTTACCAACATTTCAGGGTGATAAGTCGTTGGTGATGGAGGTAGCAAGCACGTCAGAAACATCGGTAAACTTCTACCAGACTACACAGCACAATAACCCACAAGACCTGCCATTGTACTGATTTTTCATATGAACCATTTCTGAGAAAACTGTGAAGTTCCATTTTTGGTTCATGTAAAGTAATGCTTATATTTGATTGATACGAATCAAAACTACATTCGTACCTTCCTACGTAATAATATTTTTAGTGTAGATTCCCAATACTGAATTCCATCATCTTTCAAGTAGTTTGTGGATATGAACATGCATACAGATCTGACCATTATATGTTTATTTTATGGACTTTGTTGAAAGAATGCATTAAAGTCAGTTACGATACCTGGTACTCTGTTAACAAGAGTACCTGGTATAAATACATGTCATGAGTGAAGTTACTGCTATGTTTTAATTATACTTAAAAATATTCATCATTGTTCAGTGATAGAGATGTAGTGAAGTGATCTTTTTCTTAAGTAAATTCTACATTATATGGGTCATCTAACAATTAAGCCTTGCCATTTTATAAATCACAAATTTAAAAACAGCTTCATATCTATGAGATACACTGAATATTCAGTACTTTTATAATGCATACCGAATGATGATTATAATTACTTTTGTTCCTTATTCACATATGCTACATATGCATGGATGATTCTGGACAATGAATTCAGAACAACCAGCCTTCAGCGTTAATAGAGCAACAATGGAACACTACGAAAATTCTATGTCAGTATAGTCATCCCCCCACCTGATAAAAGTCATTATGTGCCTCCCACATAGAAATTGCAGGTGGCTCCCTGCCAGTTTTCCTTACCTCGTCTATCAGTGTATGGACAAATACAAAAGCAATATGACTTTTTCATATTTAATAAATATTCTGAAGTGGTGTTAGCATACATGCAGTTCCCAGTTCATGTTATACCAAGAAATTGACTTTTTCATGATTTTCAGTAGCCTCTCTTGGCTTAATTTGGACATAAGCTAAGTCACAACTGTCTATTGCCATGTGTATTTGTTTTCCTGTACAGTCCTGCTTTGTTAATCTATAATCGTTAATAATTATTTTAATGTCTAAAACATGCATGCAGCAAGATATTTGTTTTGTTAAAACCCACAGCTTGTTAGAAATTTTTTAAAAACATAGGCTTATAAGAAAATTTATGCCTACATATATTGTATGAATTGAAATTGAATTTGGTTGATAATTTTTATAAACATCATCCATATTAAATTTAAAGTTACTCAGCTAGCACTAAATCATTTTGCGCTTAAAGACATACTAAAAAGTAACTGGAGGTCTGAAATTATGCATGAAAATGTTCCATTTTTTTTTGTCTTGTACCTCATACCTTCCAGTAATGTGAAACATGAAACTACATCAATACAAGGACTCTGGCAGGATGAAGACCACTGCAGCAGTTTATGGAAATAAAGAAATGGATGGGCATCATAACATATTTGAATCCTCTTTGTATTAGCTACAGGCTTTTGGAATTAAATGACAGAATGAGCCACATCTACAAGGACAACATACTTATATGTTTATTCAAAATCAATCATGTACAAACAAGTTTTCTAACAGTGGCAGCGCTCTTTCACTATAATGTTTTCAAACTCTTCTTCTGCCACGTCTAATGCCTTCATCAATTTGTCATAACTTCCTAATTCATTTGCAAGAGCCTTAAGAGCAGCAATGCTGCTCAGAGCCTGGCTGAGGGGAAGAGCCATTACTGCTGGTTCCTCTGATTTGTCTACTTCATCACCTGCGCCAAGCTCATCACTCCATGAAGTCCCCAGTATCTGCTGTTCCCAGTCACTTCCAGGACTGTAACATGAAACAGCATGGTTTGCCTCTGACTCCAACTCTACATCAATGCCCGCTGCTTCTCCCAGAGATGATATTTCTATTGTTATACTATCAAGTTCTGTGGCACTGTCATCCTCAAGAGCCACATTCGCTTGTTCAATTTTCACACCACACGTGGCAAATAATCGCTGGGCTATACAAGGCTTCACTTCCATCCATGCAGACTTCACCCATGTAATGGCATCAGAAACTGTTATCTGGTGAGCAAGCTGCGTAACAGTTGTCGTACCATTCATTCTGGCAACCAGTGACCTCAGCATTCTCCGTCTGTATAACATTTTGAATGTCTGGATAATGCCTTGCTCAAGTGGCTGTAAACGACTTGTAGAACTGACAGGGATGAAGATTAAGTTAATGTTTGACAGTTCCAAAGGATGATGACAAGGGGCATCATCCAAGAAGAGGAGGATCTTTCTATTCTCCTGAATCATCTTCTCATTAAATTTAGTGATCCACTTACAAAAGATGTCTGGAGTCATCCATGCATTACTATCTGAATACCACTCCACACCCAGATGGGGAGCATCATTGTCTTTAAAACATTTGGGGTAAATGACAACCAGGGGCTCTTTTTCTCCCAGAGCATTGATACAAAAAGACAATGTCAGTCTTTCACTTGCAAGTTCTCCTCTATGACATACTGTCTCTTGGTCTATAGTTTTGTCAGGCACTGCCCTGAAGAACAGTCCAGTCTCATCCATGTTAAACACATCCCTGAGCTCATAGCCCTCACACATAGTTGCCATATGAAGTCTCCAGTGAGCTTCCTCAGTTTCACTATCTTCATGGATCTCCCTGAACACAATTTTATGACGCTTTTTAAAACTGTCCAACCATCCATTGCTGCCATTAAACTTCTCGACGTTAAAGAATGCAGCAAATTCTCGAGCTTTCTCCTGTAGAATAGGACCACTAAGAGGCAAGCCTTTCGCACGTGCCTCCTTGAACCACTCCCACACAAAATTGTTCACATTTTCATTCCTCTGTTTCCCCTTTCTTTTCACAAACTGGCTACCCCCCTCCTTCCATTCCCGCAGAAGTCGATCCCTGTTTTTCAGAATGTTCTGTATCTGTGTCTTGCTGCAGTTGAATTTGAGAGCAAGTGCCCTCTGTGAGAGTCCCCTCGAGCTCTCCCGGATCACCTCAACGCGCATATTCAAGGACAATACTTCACCCTTCTTCTTTTCACCTTGAGACTTTGTCAGCTTGCTGCCACTCCAATGACATGCCATGGGTAACTGGCTGTGACTGGCTGCAGTGTTTGACATGACAGTATTCACTCTGCATGCAGGATCACCATCACTGCAATGAAACAGTTCAAACATCCAATAATTTGACAATATTATAGAGTGGTAATACAGCAACAGTTTTATTTCAATTAACATGACATGTTTTAATTACTCCTGTATGCTATTCAGAAAATAAAAGCACTGAAGAATGCTATTTATATGACATGTCATAATTCTGAACTTTTACAATAGCAGCATGGATCAACATACTGTTCACTTAGGCAGGTACAAATTTCAGACTAACCAACATATCCTTCCTTTATAATTTTCAATGCATATGTGGAATTAAAACTGTACAGCTGGTTGCAATTCCATGTACATATAAACAAAGGCTAGGTTAGGATAGGTTAAGAAACCCCATCAGGAGTCGTTTAATATTTAATCACATTGTGATCAAACAAAACACATGTCAGTCATGTCATTGAATAGGGCTTAATAATGTACTACACACACTAAGGCGGCAATACAGAAAATAAGCGATGGCCTGTGTGGAAGTCATATCATTTCTCTGCCTTTGGGTCTGGTTGTCTACTATTTTTCGTATCACCGAACGTAAACGTACCGAAATTAGGTTACCAAAGAAAAGTTACTTTTTTCACTTCTTCCATTTCGTTTTTAATTTAACTCATCTTCTTTTTCTTCCAGCTATATTCAAGATAAATACAACACCAAACAGTAGCGCTGGTAAATTTATTTTTATAATAGTTTAGGTCAAAGAGTGCAAATAATTCATGAAGTGGGATCTGTTGTTGTATTTTACCATTAAGTTATAGTTTAATTGTAACGAAGATCATATTCCACTTTTTAATGTACATAAGAGCGTTAATTAACTCCAGAATCTGTTGCATTTGCTACAATACCCTCAAAACAACAGCTGGAGTAGTACACATTGAGTAGAATTTTGGTAACCGTGATTAGATGTTGATCTGCTGAAAGTGTTGGCGATATTATCTTTCTCTGCTATCTTTTGTGATAGTTGGCGGTGATTGAAATCAATTTGTTAGAATAACGTGGAAGAATTATGATGATGGTTACTTTGCTAGAGGTGATGTAATTTGCACGAGAATGCACAAGCGACGGCAGAGGCGGACTTCTGGAGATAATGGATTTGCTTCATGGGTAAACATAATTAAATATTTTAGGTTAGGTATGATGAATGTTGGTTTAATTAGTGTGGGTTGAAATAATTTCGTAAAACAAGGAATCAGGGCCCCACATCTCCCTCCCCTTAAACAGTTTGCCTGCCCTGTGGAACCTGTTTCAAAATTAGGATTTGTTTTTGTTGTATCCTTATGTTCTGTGTGTTCCTTCAATTGCTGATAAACTAAAGCAAACGTACACAGAGGGATCCCCAACTCGACACTTTAGCCAGCAGACGAGAATGCAATGATTTTGTTATAAACTGTTGAAATTGGGTTACTGGAAGCATGTTCAATACTAGCCATTGTGATAGTACACGTCATTTGTCCTCACATCTCATCTCTGCTGTTAAGAATTTTAATGGGAGGCTTGACCTCCAGAACCACCCATTAGAATTTCCACTGAACAAGGAACGTTGATAGCACTGGATGCCTTCCAACCGAGTAGTATGTACAGTCAAGAAAAGTAGTGACTTATAATCTGATGTCCATTATATTGCATTATCAAGTAGCTACTCATGCTCAGTGGAGATTTTTCCAATGGGTCAGTGACTTAGAATATTTTAGAAGTGGAATTTATAGGGTATTGATCAAAGTGTCATGCAGCTAGTAGTATATACTGAACATTCTGTTATTATATTTGAGGGGTAGTTGCTTCATATACTTAACTAACAGCTGGCTGTTCCACAATTTTACATGGTTATTTTCATCTAGATGTGGGTGACAACTGCATGATTGAACCTCTAAACAGTTCAGTAGTTTGTACACCATTATTGAGTAGCCCAAGGAAACATATTTTAGCATTCTAAAACCGTGTAAGGATTTCACAGAATGACACTACCTGTGTGACAGTTATTTGTTCCCAACTTGGTAATGACACACTGTGTACTGCAGAATTTGTATAGTATTGAATGAAAAATCAAAAAATAATTTTACATGATTTGGAGACAGTGTGAGAGAAATCAGTTGTGACCTATCCTGGCATTTGCCTGTAGGCTTTAGGAAAACCATGAAAAACCTCAAGATATTTTAGCCCATATTAATTCTGAAGTATTGCAAGACATTTAGTTTTGAGTGAAGGTACTTTATCCTAATTTATATTCAAACAGCCAACTGTGACTGTGGTGCGAGTCATCAGACCATCAAACATATTGTGCAGGAATGTCACCTGAAGGCATACCCAGGGGATTTCCTCCTAGCCTCTCCACCAGCACTTGAATGGATTGTCAATCTTGACCTAAAACTATAGTAATGTATTCTAGTATATTATATTTGTAATGTCCATCATATTCTTGTATTTCATGTGTTGTAATATAACCATAAGATAAATAATAAATATAATCCTAATTTATCTTTGTAACATAAGAAGCACGAGACTTGTGTTGCTGTTTATTGTTAATGGAATGATGAAATTTATTTCAGGGTGGATATATGGCAGCAAAGAAAGCAAAATTGCAGGAACAGTTTTCAGAAGATGTTGCAAAAGAGGGTAGTAGCCAGAGTAATGCTAGCAGCAATATCTTCCATGGTGTGGCTATCTTCGTGAATGGGTACACAGGTATGTATTCAAGTGTTTCATGGTTGGGCTCATGGCTAGATCATGCATCTGATCTGGCTTTGGTAGAGCGGCTGAATTTCTCGAAGGACTCCCACACTGTTGCAGTCACAATTAATTGTTTTACAGAGTGATGGTGCAGGGTGAACATCCATTTTTTGGACCAATAGCTCTATGACTCTTTGGTCCATTTTTTCTTTATTTAATTTAGAATTCTGTATCAAGTATTGCATAATGTCAGATGAGAAATGGGACAGGGATATATGTTGAAGAAAATGGTTACAAACTGTTTTAAGGTATTTACTTGGAGAACTGAAGAAAACTTTAAATTACCTCCATCAGAATAGCTGATTGCCAACTACATGAAAAACCAGTCAGCTAACTTGTTCAGTGTCATGGCTGATGATTACACTAACATCTTGCACTATGAAATTGGCAGAGTTTTAAGTGTTAAGTGAATAGGAGAACAAAACATGTAGATGGTTTGGAGTGAAGTATGGAACAACCTACTATTTTTATCTTATGATGTTACCAAACTTTGGCAATAAAATGCCCTTTTGTTTCTCATCTGTTACTATTTACTGATCTTTAATCTTGCATTTAAGAACTACTGAGGTGATTTTGTGCTTTGGACCCCAGGAAAGTGTTCTTTATATGTTACTGTTGTTTTTGCAGTACCATCTGCAGACTCACTAAAAAGAATGATGATGATGCATGGAGGGATGTATCACCACTACCAGTCAGACAAGACAACACATATTATAGCCTCCAACCTGCCAAACTGTAAGCTGAAGCAGCTGAGAACAATGAAGGTGGTAAAACCAAATTGGATTGTAGACAGTGTGCAGGAGCACAGGCTGCTGGATTATCGACAGTATCTTCTGTACACATCCAGAGCACAGGCACGGTTGAATTTTGGCCAGAGTGAAGTGGAAAGTGTGACTGTAGTTCAGGGAACAAAGACTGTTAGTGAGAATAATAAATCAGCAAGCATTATACAGACTGACATGTCCACTAGTGATGTTGCTGAGGAAAAGCAGTTGTCACATGCCACTGCACGCAATGCCACTGAACCAAACTTCCTCTCTGAGTTTTACAGCCACTCTCGCCTGCACCACATTTCCACAATGGGCGCTTTGTTCAAACAGTATGTGACACAGCTCAGGGAAGAGAGTGATGGCAGGTTCCCTGGACAGAAGAGATTACGGGAGTTTGGTACAATGAATAACAATTCCCAGAATTTGAGTAGTGATAGGACGATAATGCACATTGATATGGATTGCTTCTTTGTGTCTGTTGGCTTGCGGGACAGGCCACACTTGAAGGGTTTGCCTGTTGCTGTCACACACGCTAAAGGAAATATTGCTCCTTCACATCAACGTAAAGGAGTCGATCTTGCATTTGAGATGAACTACTACAAGCAGAAATCAGAAATTGAGACTGTTAGCAATGTGGATGAGATTGATTCTCTGTCTGAGATTGCATCATGCAGTTATGAGGCCAGAAAATGTGGTCTGAAGAATGGAATGTTCTTGGGAACAGCCCTTAAACTTTGTCCGAATCTGAAGACCATTCCATACGACTTTGAGGGATATAAAGAAGTGTCCTACTGCCTCTATAATACTGTAGCAGCGTGAGTGGACTTTAAAATCAGTCAGTAGAATCTGAAAATTTCTGCATTCTTGTTTGTTAGATAGAAAGAAAAATAATTAATTTTTCATTTTGTTAATCTGTTTTACTTACTCTCCTTAACAATTTTCATTGGCATAACTTGAACTGTGCTGTGGGAGGGCTTTTACACACACACACACACACACACACACACAAAAAAATAACTAGACATATTGCTTTTAATGATAGTTTGTTTGTTTTTACTTGATAATTTGATCGGGTGGGATGGGGCACTAAACATTAGCCCTTTTCAGAACACCGATCTGTTGTTTTCTCCGCCATCCACCTAACTCCCCATGTCGGGTGTCTCTCCTCTCTCTCACATACCCCACTACAGGCCCACATTCTCCTATTGGTCCTCACCCACGCCTGATCTGACACCAGCTTCCATTGGCTAGGATTCAGCTACTCCATTCACTGTCTGGTCCCTATAAACGTATCATTTTCCGCTTGATTGGCTCATTCATCACCCTGATGATGGAGGCAGTATGACCTCTGAAAAGTTGGTGGACATCTACCATACTGCACAGCGTAACAATCCAGAAGACAGCAATCTTCACTTATGGTTGTTATAAGTAGGAGAGAATTAAGAATTTTCAGAAATTAATTGATAACAACCACCATTTTTTAATGAGAGTCATGATATGAGGTTCACCAAATTCAGATTATGGGTAAAGCAATGGTCATAAACTGCAAGTGGGTGTTCATGGCTGATGTCTTCTTGTACACCATTAAACTTTCCACACATTTCAAAAACACCATCATGTCCTTGTCCTCATCATAGGAATTTTATTTTGAAGGCATATCTGTCAAGGCTTTCTAGTACTGTGTCCTGTAAGCCTTAACTTTAAGATTCATTAAGACTCAAATTGTAAGAAGTCCTACATAAGTCTGTGAGATTTCAAATTTTCATGCAGGGAGTATGAAGATGGCTGTCTTCTGGGTTGTGCTGTGTGATATGGTAGAAGTTTATCAATATTTCAGAGTTGCTTGCTGCCTCCATCATCATGGGTGATCTGATGATGGACACACCTCGAAACTTCAGTAAACTTCTACACGACTACATGGTGTAACAACAAAAAAGACAGTCATATCCTGTTTTTAAGTTTATCGTTATAAATATACCTGTTTCCAATACTAAACTATTCTACTGAAAATGTATTGTTACATCAGCTAACAGACCTACTGAGAAACAGTCAGCAGAATTTACCATGACTGCAAGTTTATTTAAAAGCTTTGATTTAAAGGCTGCTGTATTTTCATGTTGCACATTTGCTGAAAAATATAAGGCACTTATGGGTATGTCTTATAAATGGCTCATTAAAACCTTTGATGTAGTATTTTAACAAATGTTTCTCTTGTTATCTTCAGATTCCTTCAGCAGTGATGAATCTTGGTCTAGAAGTCAGGTCATACATGAATACTGTATTATTTAATCCCCAATCATATCATAGTACATAGGTATTTTAATAATAATTCAGTTCTTTATTTTAACATGCTAATTGAGCAGCTACAGGAGGAAATTACAGAGTCAGCACAAGAAGATAAAACAAATACAAACAACAGAAAAAAGTACAAAAAAGTGAGAACAGAAAGCTAATTACAGTTAATAGGATTTGAGGTTTTCATGACAGTGAATCTGAAGGTAGCTGTCTTCTAGGTTGTAGCACTGTGTAGTCTAGTAGAAGTTTACCTGTGTTTCAGAGGTCCTTGCTGCAATGAGTTGTCCAATGTGTAACAAGCATACTAAATTGTTAAGACTTCCTTTCTTTGTTTAAGAGTGGTATTTGCACTTTAGTACTTTCCACAATACAAAAAAAATAATAAGAAAATGTTCTTATGTTTAAAAGAGGTGATTAAGAGGTGGTGCTTTCATGTAGTAAAGTGGACACTTAATTACCAAAACTGACAGCTTTATTTCCATCTAGGCCTTATTACCCATGGTTACCGTATGTTGTTAAAACTGAAATGTTGTTTTGGAAGGACTCTGTAGTTAACATATGTACCGTATGTTGTTAAAACTGAAATGTCATTTTGGAAGGACTCTGTAGTTAACATATTGTTTGCAGCTTCACACTGGATATAGAAGCAGTGAGCTGTGATGAGATGTTTGTTGACTGCAAGGATGTTCTGCGGAACACCTGCACATCCCCTGTACAGTTTGCCTCATTTCTTCGACAAGAAATTAAGGTACATCAGTTTTATGTAGTTTTGCCTAACTCATTAAGGAAATGACTCAGTATTACTGAGTTCCCACATTTTGAAAACTTCAAAATTTGTAAGTCAGCAGTATCTGCACGTGATGTATCACATATTATACTCATAAACAAACAACAAACAGAAATCTTAATGCATGATATAAGAGTACATGTAAGTGCCAAAGCTAACCAGGATGATTTCCTACTGCTGAGTAAAATAAATATTTCTACGAGATGGAATTATGCAGTGAATACATTATGCACACGAAACATGTCATGGAACCTTTAAAATGGGTTATGAACCGTTTCTAGTCCTGGTTTCACGTTTGCCCTTTATTGACTCATAGGTTGCAAGGTTATAACTGAGGGCAGTTTGTTGGAACATCAAAGCAGTATATTAAATATGCTGTTAAATTAGGCCTACTATTGCAACCAGCTTCATGTGTTACTCAGTATTCAGTCTTTAATGAGCTATTTGATCCAACTTTTGCTTGAGCAGTCTTTCAGTATCATGTTTAATTTCTGTTGTTGCATTCACATGCATCCCTTCAAGTGTTCATTAGTAAGATGCTTCCTAGTTCTAGATTTGATATGTTTCATTAAGCTGAATCATTTCTCGCAGTAATAGATACTGCCAGATATTGATAATATTAACAAAGTTTCTGTATATCATGTAACCATTATTCATCATTCATAATGACACAATGTACAAAAAAGCATGTGGGTTGCACTAAAACACTTCTGAGGGTTGCTGGTTGAGAACCTGTGTTTTAAAATATATTAATTGGAAGAGGATATTATATCTTGCAAATGCAAATACATATATGAGCCATTCACTTGTGAATTTCAATAGAAATACAGAGTGGGTGGCAATTGAATGGATTATAATACATGCATTTACAAGAGGTCTGGATAAAATAAACAAAAATGTCATGAACATAGGGTTAAATATCTGGAACAAAGATAAGTCTCATAGTAAGACAAAAAGTTGGAAAACAGTTGACAATGTTGGGAACAGTGTGCCTTTGCCAGGTGCTCTTGAGGGGTCATGCCACAGTTGCTTGTTGCACAGCATTTTAAAATTTCTTACTCATCACTTAGGCATTGTATCAACAAAGCAGTAAAATCCCAAAACTACTGCCAACTCTTAGTTATCCCTTATAACTGCGTTCTGGAGAATATCACTAAAATATTGCAATTATGTCTTCCCGCTAATGTTCTTTCACATTGAGAAAATACCTGACCTGACAGGGTTGTGGCACCACATAATTATCAAACCGTAAAAGGGTTAAATAATCCATGGACTAATATCCATGAGTGGGTATGTTGCTCTACATTATGTAACATTCTGTATGGTGCCTGTCACGTTCTATGTGTTCTTTGTTATGCCAGGACAAAACTGGATGTTCGGCATCAGCAGGCTTTGGTTCTAACCGCTTGCAGGCACGTCTTGCCACAAAGAAAGCCAAACCAGATGGACAGTTCTACTTGGAACCCTCCATGGTCACTAACTTCATGCTGGACATCGTGGTAGAGGATCTTCCAGGTAATGAAAAATGTTCAAATTTTTTTTTTATGATCCATATATTGAACCCGAAGTATGTAACTTCTGCTTTATTTGTTATTGGAGATTGGCAGATGGTGACATTTTCTTGTGCATACTCTAAATTTGAATTCTGTGATGATCTTACGTCTGCTGCATTAAAATGCTTTCACAAGAATGAGAAGAGCCAGCTGAACATAATCCCATATCTTCAAGGTCTGTATTTCCACCAAAAAACACCAGTTTTACTGAATGTGTGTGCCATCATATTTTGGTAACTTTTTAACACTTGAAAAATTATTTTATATGATATTTACAGATGTGTTTAAAACCCATCACTGTACCAGATTTTTAATTGTTCTAATAGATCATCAGTTATCAGCATGAAACTGGAAAGGAAACAGATTTTGCATTGTTACCATGTTTTTGTTTTTATTTTTACATGAGTGATATGTTAGCATACAAGACTTAGGGATACCACATTTATAGTGTTGCTGCCACCTCAGAAATACGTTTACCTATCATGTCAGTATTATTGATAATGGAAATTGATAATTATGAAGATATAGTGATTTGTAGTGCCTTACTTAATGGTACCTGCACCTTGTCGTGGTGGTGGGGCTTGAGTACCTCAGTGACCCCAAGAGCTATGCTGGCGGTAGCATAGCTACTGGTAGGGCCTCCCTAGCAAGATAGGTCGAGGGGGAGAGGTCAGACTAAGACAGGTACCGTGGTCCTCCAGGTTGGGGGTTGGTTGCAAGGCTAACAACCTTGCACTGTAAAAAGGAAGATGCTTCGAAACCTCAATCAAAGCCTCGGACAGACCGACCTAACAGAGGACCGAATGGAAGAGGAGAATTGAGGAGGCCATGGACCAAATACGGACCGGAGAGCCATAGAAGAAAAAGAAGGAGTGATTTGTAGTGACATGATGCTCTATATTGGGTTTGATGAAAAGCTAACCATTAGGTTAGAAAGTTGATTGATTGTAGACTCATAGGTTATTTAATGATACTCTGAACTACAGAGGTTATTTATTGTCTGAAGAAATGATGGAATGATTATGTACAGTGAAATGTGAAGGACTGAAGAAGTGATTGTGATCTATTGCAAGCTACTAATTCAACAATTATTAGAAGGGACTGATGAAATAATAAAACCCAAGATGCTCCTCCCAAGACCAGGTACTTTTTGAATACAAATCAGATCCATTATCACATGAGCTACCCTGCTTTGTTAGTGAATGACAGATGCAATATTATAGTACTGTTAGGCTTAGTTTTCCTTAGGAAACATGGAAAATAAATTAAAAATAATCTCATTGCTGAATTGAGAACATAATGAACTAGTCTTCTCACTAAAGAAAGTGAATATTTTGTTCCCACTCGTTCTCTCCTTTTGCCCTGCCAAATACTGTGAACTGTAAAACTTATATATGAATGTATGTGATGTGCTCTATCACTAGGCGTGGGCCGAAACCTGACCAGTCTTCTGCATGTTATGGGTGCACGCACTTGTTCAGATCTTCAGCGTTTCTCCCAGGCTCACCTGCAGCAAGAGTTCGGGGTGAAGACTGGTAATGCCCTGTACATGCACTGTCGGGGTAAAGATGATCGGGTGCTGAGCTTCAGCCATCAGCGCAAGTCTGTTTCAGCTGAAGTGAATTATGGTATCCGATTCACCAGTCAGGAAGAAGCTACAGCATTCCTGAAACAGTTGGCAGGCGAGGTTTCATCAAGACTGAAGAAAATCAAGTTGAAGGGTCGGTGCATCACGCTCAAACTGATGGTAAGTATCTTTGACAGACCTTAGAGACTCTTACTTTAAAACATGCTTTAAATGTTGACAATTATGCCTTCCTGTTTGTCAGTAAATAATTTACTTACACAAAGCTAAAATATATTTTTTTGTCATTTTACTTCCTTTTGAAATTAAATATTTACCTTGTGATGAAAACTTGGCTTGTAATAATTGTGATAAATATTGTTTTTATATGTCTTTTTCGCTTATGCACATTCACATTTCTTTGCTTGTATTTCTTAATTTCATTTATAATGATTGTGTAATAAAGAATTTAAATGTTGTAGTTTTGTATATAAAGTGAGCTGGATGAAAAATATGTTATGCATTTCAAATTTTAATCAATCATTGATTGTGACAAAAAATACAAGAACACTATCTAAACCTTGTATGCATCAGAAGTTTCTGACCATGAATCTGATTGTGTTAAAGATCAAAAACATAAGTGATATTTAAGAGAAGTTACTGTCTGTTTAGTAAAGATGCTGAATTTTTTGTGACAGGTAAGGGCTAAGGAGGCACCCATAGAAACTGCAAAGTTTCTTGGTCATGGGGTGTGTGACCATGTGACACGTTCTTCCACTCTTACGACTGCTGTTGCTGATCAAGACACAATAGCAAGGTGATTCTTATTCAGCTTTTGTTATAGTTTTTGTCATGTTAAATGCAGTAAAATTAGTAAATCTCTGGAGCTTGTGCTATATTTAACCAGTTTATGGGGTTTAAAATAATAGGTAACCTACTCTATTTAATATCATGATTAATTGTTAACATATTTGCAGGTTTCCAAAACATTTTGTAATCACAGAGGGTGCTTTTTCTTGCATCTATTATTTGTGATAATTTGTGGTACAGTATTGGAGAAATAGTTTACAGATTGCACAGTGTTACAGTACAGTAATAAAAGAAACTTCACAATGAGCTGTTTATTCATCTTCACATTCATCAGAATCATATTTTTTATCGCAACTATTAGTTGTTCAATATAATGTATTCATGTGGTGTGCACACTTTTTATCGCAACTATTATTTGTTTAATATAATGTATTCATGTGGTGTGCACATTTAGTTATTGCAAAGAATATTCCATTCCATAATCGTATGTGGTTCTTGTTGGCCATCACATTTTATGTTATACAAAGTTTTTACACCTTATTATTAATCTTATTTCTCTCATTATCTTTCAGAATTGTGCACATTATTTGTTTTTGCCCAAAATACATTTTTATGTTTTCACATTGCAGTATTTGGGATACAAATTCTTCTCTTTCAATTTTTGGCCATAGTTGCCCATAATGATTGCTTCCTGTTCTCAGAAAAAGAAAAAGAAAAGAAACATTCATTTAATATGCTGTTCCTTGATGCATTGTGCATTAATTTGTATGGATCGTTCCTACCCAACAAATATTTGTACCTCTTAAAAATTTTTGTAAGACATGCTTAATGGATGGATTTCTGGCTGTTGTGTTCTTCAGATCACAGGGTTGATATACATCTTGTTGACACTTTGGAGGTCTTTATTGTGTATGTGAAACACTAGCAGTGTCGAGAATAGGATACTGAGTTAAGTTTCTGCACTTCACATTTGATGTTTCAGAGAGGTGCTTTCAATTGCAAAGCAGTTGTCAGTGAAACCAAGTGATATGCGAGGTGTTGGCATCCAGGTGACCCGTCTGGAAAGTGACAGTATGAGCAGTAAGTTTCTAGACAGGTTCTTGTTGCGGGCCACTAGAGGAACTCAGCAGGCCAATTCTAGTAGAGCACCCAAGGAAGAGAGAAACACACAACAGACAGTGAGAGCCAGTAATGTGGGCAGCCCTGTGGTACAGAATAGGGTCTCTCCTCAGCAGGCTTCCTCCAATATTGCTCCACAGCAGGAGGTGTGTACAAGCAAAGGTGAACTCACATCAAGGCTACAGTTTGAGATCAGCCCTTATGAAGTGTGTGACTTGGATGAAGAAGTGTTAGCTGCCTTGCCAGAAGATATCAGGCAGGAAATTCTACAGACATGCCAGTCCAGCAGCAATTTACAGGTACAGAAGGATGAAGTAGTGACCAACATGAAGTCTCCAGTTATTGAACAGGTACTGGAATACATTATCATCTCCTTGTCTGTTGACCTGCAAGAGACACTGTCCAGTATTAGAAGTGACTCTTAACCAGTTGAAGGTTTTAATTACCACATAATGTTTGTTTTGTTTATTTGTGGTTTACTTAATGATACTGTCAGTATTGCAAACTATAAAGTGTCAAACATTCTTTTGCTTAGAATTAATTTTAGTGAACTGGTTGCTTGATGCATAGAAAAGTTTTATAAATACAAAGCAATGTAAACATTTGAGATTCTGTGACCCAGAATCTTTATATCAGCTATATTTCTTATCTTATATGTTATTTCCTACAGTGCCTGTTGATATTGTATGCTGCTTTGACAGTACAACTAATTTTGTTTTGTTATGCTTTCTTGGGCTTGATTAAATTATGTATTATATGTTTCATGAGTTATGTTACATGTGCTCAGGTTGACATGTCGCTGTACAATTCAATGACCGTAAATCAGGTTCGGTCTCTGATGAAGGAATGGGTGTCATGTGAGGACACACCCCAGCCTTGTGATGTTAGCATGTTAGCAGACTATTTAGAGAGGCAAGTTGCTAGTCGGAACATAGATGACATCATTCTTGTGGTCAGGTGTCTCTACAGGTCAGTCAGTGAATGCATTCTAAATTCTAATTAAATTCACTTCATCCTTACTTCTTAGTAAATAGTTCTCAAATTATGTATGATATCTTTGAAAAATATGCACCTGCTTTAAAGAAGTTGCTGTGCAGAATGTAAAAGAACAACATGGAAGTGCAAAAGGGGTTTTTCTGTTTTCCCTTTCTTTTGCGTTCATCCCGCCACTCTCATCTCTTCTCATCATTCTTCTACTTTTCAGCACCTTTTTCATGCTAAACATTTCTCATGCTTGCCACGTCTGAAGTGTACTGCCGCACATAATGTTATGTGTGACAGCTACTGCTTCCGTTTGAGGTTCGTTCTTGTTTCTTAGTCTTAAAGCCCCGTAGGTTTAGATTCTCCTGCCCCACCAGCAGGGATTTGACCTATACCTTTGGTGCTGCCCTTGGTCTTTTGTGTGAACTCCAACATGTATTTATTCAGAGGATGCAGAATTGAAGGTTAAATGCACCCTTCTCACTGCCCTTAGCTTCAAGATTGAAGTATCAGAAACCAAATCTCAAGTCACATACACTCCAATAGACGTGAGTAAGTTTGGAACTCAATTGCCACCCTGGCAGGTCTGTTACATGGGGAGGGTAGTGTAGTTTCAATGGGTTACCACTGAATGCGAAGACAGCAAGTCCCCTGAAGCCTGTGCATGTAGAGTGAGGAGCAATAGGCAGTTTGATGAAAATCACTTTTCTGGCACAAGTTGAATCAGGTAACTGTAGTCTTCTTATCTCTTGAAGATTTCTGTCTTCTGGGTTGTTGCGGTGTGTAGTCTGGTCGATGTTAACCAACGTTTCAGAGGTCATACTGCCTCCGTCACCAATCTCCTTATTGTTTTGGTAGTTTGAATTCAGTTTGTTGCATACCACTAACATCAATGTTTAACAACCTCATTCTCTCTCTGAACATCTTCATATTTTGAGCTAAAATTGTGGCCACATGTCAAGGTGCTTTGGTAATTAGTTCATTTCTATTCAACATGTAACAGCAACTGTGATTATGGCATATCAAAAACATTGCAGCTTTTGCATATGCAAAGAAAAAGTCATATTCAGGTTTACCTTGTTCTTCCTGAACTTCTTTTTCCCCCTCCCCTCCATAATGCACCAGCCATGTGTTACTGTGTACGTTATATACTGTAATGATGAGTTAGTAAGTACAAAGTCAGAGAGAGCAGATGTACATGCACAGACATTAACTATTTATAGAAAAAGTAGAAGATAAGAAAACATTTTTGTTTATTGTTAAGAATTACAATGTTAGTTTTAAAGATATTTGCCACATTAATAACTAAATGTTCTAAATTATTTGTTTAACATGGAGAAGCATGCCACATGATGGAATTATGACACTCTTTTTTATTAACCACAGTAAATAAACAATATTTTTATGACTAGCTGAGTAATCACAAAAGTCAAACACTGTGGGATAGAGCTTGGGTGTTTGAAGATTCTATTTGATTGTCCCTTTCTCCACCCACTGCATGATTGGGGTAGAGGGTGGGGGGGCTGACTGTTCCTGTGCAAGAATTCTACTTGAAACTGAAATTGTCATATGTTACAAAGGGAACAAGATTTTACTGAACTGCACAAAAGTAAAAGGTGGGCCATGTGCATTCTGCTGGCCACAAATTATCATTGCCCTATATTTATGAATTTGTAGGAAAGTAAAATAAAAAGTTTTCTGGATGTTTTCCATCTTCTAATAAAATCATAAAATTGCACGACGTTTCAGAAATGGGACTCTATCTCCGTCTTCAGGTGTACCTACTCAGTTGGGCCCAATCGATAGAGCTAATCCCTATCTCTATTAAAAACACACAAACTTTTAGATTTTAGCTTGTAGGAAAGTAGGCATAAAATTTTTTTCTTTCTTGCAACAGAAATGTATTTGGAACAGTATTCCATTAGATTGAGGTTCTTGCTGCGAGTGTACTGCAGGTCACTCTTACTTGAACAGGCATTGCCAGCTTTGGGGATTACAAGTCTTGCCAGTATTTATTTCAAGTCGATTATAATGATACTGGCTTGCTTTGTCTTAATTTGCAGGTGTGTGTACAAGAAAAAGAGTGGTGTGTGGCAAGAGGCTTATCATAACATCATGAAGAAAGTGCAGGATATGATGCTTGTTGTTTATGGAGCTAAGCTGAAGCTGCAGGACACATTCACATGAGCATCTATATGGCCATATGTTATGTACACATACGTACATCTTTATGACATTCCATTGATCCTTAAGATAGTCAGATAACAGTTATTTCAAGTACAATTCATAATACTACTGTGTGGGAAATGTTGGCATTTCAATCTGTTTTGTAAAAATCACCCTTTCAGTATGTTTAGTGAAATCCATCCAGCATTTCAACCTCAGATTCACCCATGAAGTTTGTATAAGTAAAATACATTATTAGTATTACTACATTTATGAACTTTGTCCATTATTTTGGGTATTCTGAACAGTTCACAGGATTTGAGATTCTGGATCTGTTTCTGTCCTCATGTGAAAAGGTAGGGAGTGTCTACTCTGTTGGGTCCATTAGAAACAGCTGGATCAGTGACTGACATTTACTCTTACTAATGGATACAACCAACTGAGTTTACCTGCCCCAACCCCTTCACCCTAGAATGGATAACAAATTCAGTTTTCAAAACATGGTGTTCTGTTCACAGTACAATTAGATGGACGAAGCCCAGAAATTCATTAAAACTAATAGAAACATACCATCATTGGAACTCTAGAATTGATTGGTAACATAAGCTTTGGCAATAACAGCCACCACATGAAAAAATAAAGACAAAACAGTAAATACTTTAATCATTGGATACCAGTCACTTTATAGCAAGAACAGTAATTTATAAACAGAAATTTTACCATTTAAAACTGATGTTCAAAAAGATTGTGTATTTATGTACATCTTAACATGAAAGGCTTGACTGTGACCAAATGTATTTTCTCAAAATGTGCTATAGGATACGTGAACCAAGACTTGGCATGCATATTTGATTTTGAACCTCACTGGCTTATCAGTTTTGTCGGCAGATGAAAATAAATTTCCAGCCCCTAAACTATTTGTAATATTTATGTTAAATAATTACAAGGCAAAATCATGGAATCAACATTTTGTCTTGTTTCATCACAGTAACTGGTAAACCACTCTGTGAAATTTTGAATGATTATAAGTTTATCTACTGTGTGCTTTCTATTTGCATGCACTTATGCGGTATATGGGAAGGGAGGGAATGGAATAACTTTTACATGATTCTGTATGTATTATAAAGGGTATATGGGAGGGGAGGGAATGGAATAAATTTTACATGATTCTGTATGTATTATAAATATTATACTGAGGTTTAATGGTAAGTATTATTGAAGAGGCTGAGTAATGGAAATGCTGAATTAATTCCGTGAGTCTTCTTCCACAACATCAGTATAACTGTGACCTGTTTTCATATCGGTGTCACCAATTTCATCTTTAGCAGCATTATTCTTTATTTTAAATCATCACTGCTTACTAGGCTATATTTATCATGAGTCTTTTAAGTTCTTCTTCCATACATCTTCCCCTGATCCATTGTTCATCAAATTTAACCACATGAGACATTTTTAGTGGAAATTTTCTGTTTTGATATACTCCAGATTAGATCTGCTGGATTTAAATCAAAATGATATGGAGGATATTGCAATATTCTGAAACCTTTCTCCTGTAGGATGCTGTCTACTGTGTATGTGGCAGGAGTTTATTGAATTTCACAGTTTACAGTAACAATTTTGTGATATATAGTCAGGCATAATGTTGTTATGTCTCAGATAGTTCTGAATTTTGTCTTTCCAAGAACCAGTCATCAATTTAAGTGTGATTATTCTTCACAGTAAAGTGCTTCACAAAATTCAATCCCATTGCAGTGCCAACCTGATATTTTCAGACATTTTAAGTAATAGTTACTTGCACATAATATTTAAAAATAATAATTAAAGTACCACATTTGAGAAATACAATGTCAAAAGTTTATATCATAATACAAAAGAATTTCAAATAACTGATTCTTTTATCTCACTCCTACTCTGTAGAATGTATGGGCCATTCCATATCGTATCAAAACATAAAAGACATGTTCCCTACCCAAACCATCAGAACTGAGTGATTTTTTGTGAGACTGTAGTCCCAATAGATGTTAGTATTCCTATCAGATTGTATTGACTTATGGACACTACATTTCTGGGAGCAGACATCCAAAGTTGCCAAAAATAAAATTAAGAGTACTGGATAATTTTATTCCTGGAATTTTTCTAATAGCTAGTGAAAATATCATTTGGTATAGAATAGAATAGAATTTATTTACATTCCATAGATCTTTCATAGGCCTAAGCCAAGGATTTAGAACAGGTCATAGCACAAATACAATATTTGTTTCTAGTACAAATATAAATACATAGTTGTAACAGCTATTTACAGATTTTTGGAACTACAATATTACAGCAAAATAATTATGAAGAGAACCTTCACCATTATTACTTACATGTATTTATAAATTCTTCTACAGAGGAGAAGGCGTGAGATAGGAGATACTCTTTTAACACTGGCTTAAAAAATTTTATATTGTGGTTTAAAATTTTTATAGTAGGTGGAATGTTACTGAATAACTTAATTTCAGTATAGTAAACTCCTTTTGGATATTTACTGAGGTTAGAAATCTGCACAAGAAGGTTGTATCTGTATTTGTTTGAAATTTGCCCATGTTATCCACTACAAATGATAATAGTGAGAGCAAGAATTCACTGGGTAGTGGAAGAATATTAAACTTCTTAAGTAATTCTTTACAAGAGTCTCTCCTCTTAGTGCCTGCCATTATTCTAATGATCCTCTTTTGAATGTAAAATACTTTTTTGATGATTCCATAAGACTTGATGGAATGGAAGTAAGCAAAATAAACTAATTTCAAAGTTTCTGTGTTCATGAGTGCTGCAGCTGTCCTCATAGCAAAACATGCCAAGCTTAGTTTAGGGATAATGTATTGAATATGTGTTTTCCAATTTAATTTGTTGTCTATTTTTAGGCCAAGAAATTTAGTTTTTTCTATTTCCTCGATTATCATATCATATATCATACTCCATATTTAGATTTACACAAGTTCTGTTGTTAGTACAAAATTTCATGAAATTTGTTTTGTCAAAATTTAATGTGTTTATTGACTAATTCATTTGTTGAATCTAGCAAACACATCACTTATGCAATTTTGAAAACAGTCAATTTCTGGATGTGAAATAATAATATTAGTATCATAAGGAAACAGTATAGGTTTAGAATGAGAGTTGATGGTTGAGGGGCAGATCATTGATATATACGAGAAAAAGCAGAGGACCAAGTATTGAACCTTGAGGCACTCCATGTTTTACAACGCCCCAATTTGAGTAGGTGCTATCATTTGAATTTGATGATTTTATTTCTACTTGTTGCTTTCTGTCATGAAGGCATGATTTAAACCACTTGCCAGCTATATTTTGAATTCCATAGAAATTTAGTTTTAATAGTAATAATTCATGATTGACACAATTGAATGCTTTAGCAAGATCACAAGATATTCCACCAACTTGCACTTTATTATTTAGTGCACTTAAGAGTCCATCTGTAAAACTGAACAGGGCTTTATCAGTTGAGAAATTTTTTTTCAAATCCAAATAGTTCACCTGCAAAGGCGTTTTGAGTTTAAGAAATCATTTACTCTCTTGTACATAACTTTTTCATATGGAGGTCATGTTTATGCTGTGAGTGACAAATTGTTTGAAACCTTACCATGTTGTCCATAACAAATAACAGTAAGAGTAAGAATTCACCTGTAGAGGTTAATATATTAAGTTTCTTAAACAATTCTCTCAAGAGACTTTATAACACCTGTCATTATTTTAATGTTTTTCTTTTGGTTAAAATTATAATTAAAATATCAATTTTAAATGGCATTGGTAAAATAGGCCCATTCGTCTTCTAAAATGTGTTGTGAATTATGCCAATCGAGTCACTTGAAATCAAGGTGAGCTGAACATTAATACGAGGCGCGTCCCAAAAGTAAGTTTCCCACTCGTCCCACAGCTAGCAAACCTTATATTGCGCGAAGCGACTGTGCGTACGTGATAGAGCAATGACGTAGCATGGCGCATGCACTAACGGCACTTCCCGCGTTCTCACAGTAGCATCGTTGCAGCTGTTGAAGATGGAGGTTCTTATTCCAGCCCCCGCCGACTGTGAAGTGCGGTCAGTGATAACGCTAGGCCGCACACGACTCGACGGACAGCAAGTCTCCTGCAGAAGTTCAGCTGGGAGGTGTTTAATCATCCACCCTACAGCCCGGACCTCGCTCCCAGTGATTTCCATCTTTTCCTACACCTCAAGAAATTCCTGTCCGGTCAGCGTCAGCGTCAGCGTTTTGAGAATGACAGAGAGGCGGAGATGGTGGTCACACAGTGGTTCCAATCCCAGGCGGCAGACTTCTACGACACAGGTATTAAAAGTTGGTCCCACGGTATGACAAATGTCTCAATTCCGGTGGCGAATATGTTGAAAAATAGCTGGACACTTGCTGTATCTGTTGCAATAAATATTCCCATGAAATTGTGTTTTGTTTCTGTAAACTGCCCCAGGGAAACTTACTTTGTAGACAAGCCTCGTATATGAAAATGTGGGGATCTTGAGGCTCACCTCTAGATCTCCGCGTCGAACACATTCATTGCCAGCTCACCTTAGTTTTAATATGTTGCCAAAATATTACGTGTGTTTAAAAATTTACACCTTATAGGTCGCTAGGGGTAGGGAGAGAGAGTTATAGCTGCTACTCATTCTTGACCTCGGCACTAGATTAGGGTGAGTGGTCAGCATGACGCCCCGGGAAAGGATCCCTGTATCCATTGGATAGGAAGCTGGGTGGGCCCTAGAACCGGTCTGGACGCAGAGGCTAGAGGAAAAATCCTCTGCCCCTGTATGTGATCGAACCACAGTCGTCCAGCCCGTAGCTAGTCACTATACTGACTGAACTACCCCGGCTCATGTTTAAAGATAAATCACCATTTCCTGGAATGTTTACATTTAAGAACAGATTATTTTGCTTTTACTTAAATTCGACATTGGGTATTTGACTAGTCATAAATCATAAATCCAAGTGATCATCTTATAGAAGTATACTAACGAATTAAAAATATCTTTGCCATTTATTATGAACTTCTGAAACAATTTATAAGAACAGTATATTAACAAACTAGAGATGCGTTTGTCGTTTAATATAAATGTCTCTAATTGTCTGGTTTCGATGTGAAGATTATACAGCTAGAAATTATTTCAGCATCTTGGAGACATTTTGCACTGGGATCCTGTTAACATTTAATTTCCTTGACGAGAGTTGGTAGTATCTAATCGTCTGTGTTTGGCTGTCCTGTTGAATGTTCTGAAAAGTTGCTTGTCAGGTTCCTAATTTCAATTAGACTTTCGTTGTTTAATAGTAAAACAGTCAAAATGCCTGACTTTTTAGGAGATGAAATGAGGAAGGTGAAAAAGGATGATAAAGAGGAAGAAAAAGAAATTAAATGTAAGTAACGTATCTACACAATTCTAACCTGTACAATGAACTTTCGTGTGACGGATTAGTATTGTCATTGTGACTACTGGCCACAATGGTAATGCTATAGTGGTTTGCTTGTCATCTCAGCATGCTCGTTATATACCTTTCTACATAGATTCTTTCCGTAACTGTGGTTAATAGGACATGGAACAAGTCAGAAAATACAGTACATGTACAGAACCTGTCTCAAGAACAAAATACATACTAGCAGACTTGATTACAGACCCAATTACACCGTTTAATAATTTCTACCAGTTATATTGTCTACTCTTGTTTCAAAACATTTATTGGGCCATTCTGTGCCGAGTTCATGTAGAAGTGGAATTTTCAACCTTTTCCTCAAGGATTTAAGTGAAATCTGGTGAAATTATATACCTTTGTTTGCAAATAAATATGCAAAAAAATCATTCTACTCATAGTTTTTTTAATAGGCATTTGAAATTGAAAATAAATGTGTTTGTTGGCATGATGCAGTTTATAAATGTTACTGTGGCTCTAATTGAACTAGAGAGCCATTTTGGTTTTGTTTGAAAGCTAATGAAGTGTCACTTCCAATGACACATGCTGAGGTTTAATGTGGAGCAGTGTCAGAGTCGTCAAAATTGCCCTTTGTCCTTGAATTGATAAAAATTTGAACCATAATTCTTTTCATAAATATATTTTCTGTGCCATTTAATTTCCTAGCAATGCTCCAAGTTTCAATTTGAGGAGTTACAAATTATAATGTGCAATAGAGTAGAGTAGAGTAGAGAGTAGAGTTTATTTACATTCCATAGATCCTTTTTAGGACTCAACCAAAGGATGTAGAACATGTCATTTCATACAATATACATACATTTCACAACTTTCAACACAAGTACAAGAACGTATTTCACATATCAATGTACATAAATTTCAGATTCTGCAATACAAGTATGAAAAATAATTTTACAAATTAATATACATACACCTGAGAATTTTAAATATAAATACAAAACTTGCTTTACATACACGTAGATTATGGATATAAAGCTTAAACATTTTCAGCAGAGATGAAATCATCTACAGAATAGAAGGAGTGAGTAAAGAGGTAATCTTTCAATGCAGGCTTGAATACCTTTATATCATAATTTAGACTTTTAATTGTTGGTGGAAGATTATTAAACAACTTGATACCTGTATAGTACACTCCTTTCTGATATTTAGTAAAGTTAGCATTTGGCACATATAGATCATGTTTACGTCTTGTATTTAAATTATGTACATCTGTATTTCCTTTAAATTTATCCATGTTTTCCACCACAAATGATAGCAAGCAGAGTATAAATTCACTTGCAAGTGGAAGTATATTAAATTTACGAAATAATTTTCTACAAGATACCCTGCTTTTGA